CATGAAATAATAATAAAATATTGGTGATCTATGAGAATGGTGAGCTAACCCATGGAGAGTTATGGAATTGGAGAATTCTACAAAAATTAATAAAATATTGGTGAGCGCCATGAATTGGTGAGCTAAGAAAATAATAATAAAATATTAGTGATCTATGAGAATGGTGAGCTAACCCATGAAGAGTTATGGAATTGGAAAACTCTAACAAAAAATTAATAAAATATTAGTGAGCCATGAAATTGGTGAGCTAAGAAAATAATAATAAAATATTAGTAATCTATGAGAATGGTGAGCTAACATATGGAGAGTTATGAAATTGGAGAATTCTAACAGAAGTTAATAAAATATTGGTGAGCCATGAAGTTGGTGAGCTAAGAAAATAATAATAAAATATTAGTGATCTATGAGAATTGTGAGCTAACCCATGGAGAATTATGGAATTGGAGAATTCTAACAAAAATTAATAAAATATTGGTGGTGAGCCATGAAGTTAGTGAGCTAAGAAAATAATAATAATCTATGAGAATGGTCAGCTAACCCGTGAAGTGTTATGGACTTGGAGAATTCTAACCAAAAAATTAATAAAATATTAGTGAGCCATGAAGTTGGTGAGCTAAGAAAATAATAATAAAATATTAGTGATCTATGAGAATGGTGACCTAACCCGTGAAGAGTTATGGACTTGGAGAACTCTAACAAAAAAAATTAATAAAATATTGGTGAGCCATGAAGAGTTATGGAATTGGAGAATTCTAACAAAAATTAATAAAATATTAGTGAGCCATGAAATTGGTGAGCTAAGAAAATAATAATAAAATATTAGTGATCTATGAGAATGGTGAGCTAACCCATGAAGAGTTATGGAATTGGAGAACTCTAACAAAAAATTAATAAAATATTGGTGAGCCACGAAGTTGGTGAGCTAAGAAAATAATAATAAAATATTAGTGATCTATGAGAATAGTGAGCTAACCCATGGAGAGTTATGGAATTGGAGAATTCTAACAAAAATTAATAAAATATTGGTGAGCCATGAATTGGTGAGCTAAGAAAAATAAGAAAAAATATTAGTGATCTATGAGAATGGTGAGCTCACACGCCCAGTCAGGAGGTTGATTTCTGTGAAGTTGCATTCAGCCTTCGGAGAAATTCTTGACATTTGGTGCACTTCCCTTGAAGGTCATTCGCTTTCCTTGGGCCATGGAGGCCAATATATCCTTGTCGTTGTAGCCTCCTGTTAGAAGGCTTACATCTCCTGTCCACAATGACGGTTGTGCACCCCTTCTATTTCACTTGGCTTGCGATAAGGTCAATGCATCGTGCCAATAAACCACCAGGCCTTCTATAGTAGAGGACTCCTGATAAATCGTGAAGTGTTTGTCTCACTCAAAGGTAGATTTACCTTGGAGGGTGCACGGGAGCTCATCGATGAATTGGGTGCTCTCCAATCGGCGCGGTCTTTTTTCAGAAAGATAGTGTTACGAACATAGGCATCGGAGCGTTTCAGGACTTCTATCTTGGCTGATTCTTCTAAGAATTCCACCTTAGAGGCCAAGTGGCGAGGGCGTCTGGGTGTCGATTGTTGGAGCGAGGAGCGTGTTCTATCCTTACCGTGTCGAATTTGTCTGTCAACCTTTGGACGATGGTTCTGTACGAAGCCAAAGGGGGCTCTTTAATAGCATAGTCTCCATTGGTCTGCTTGACCACCAGATTAGAGTCGCCTTTGATACATAGGAGACTTAGTCCTAGGTGGAGTGCTGCCATGAGCCCCAATATCAGGGCTTCGTATTCCGTCTCGTTGTTAGAGCATTTAAAATCCAGTTTATATGACAAATTGACTTCAGTTTGATTTGGGGAAACAAGGATTATTCCAGCTCCTCCCCCTTTAGAGGTGGACGATCCATCGAAACTCAAACTCCATTCTCCTTCAGTGTTTACTTCAGCCACTTGGAACTCATCTCCTGGCAATTCATCCGAGGGCGGCTCATGTTTTCCACTGGGGAAGTGAGCTAAGAGGTCAGCGAGCGCTTGACTTTTGATGGCCTTGGGAGCTTTGCAAGTGATGTCATATTCCGCTAAAGATAGGAGCCAACAGGCTGGCCTGCCAGAGAGCGCTGGTCTAGTGAGGAGAAATCGGATAGGATCGCTTCTGGTCATGAGATGGATGGGGTAAGAAAGAAGGTAATGGCGGAGCTTTTTAGCGGCAAACACTAGGGCGAGGCAGTGCCGTTCAATGGGGGAATATCGGATCTCAGCCCCTTGGATGACTCTGCTTATGTAGTACACGGGACGTTCAAATTCGTCAAATTCCTGGGCGAGCAGAGCTCCGACTGATTTCGGCATGGAAGTGATGTAGAGGAGTAAGGGCCTTGTCGGCTAAAGAGGAGTCATGGAGAGAGGGGATGTTAAAGCTGACTTCACTCCTTCGAATGCTTGTTGGTGTTCCTCATTCCAAATGAACCTGACATCCTTCTTTAGTAAAGAATTGAAGGATTGTGTTATTTCGGCCATAGCTGGGATAAATCGTCTCAAGTAAGACGCCCGACCAAGGAAGGTTCTCAACTCATCTAGATTGGTTGGTCGTGGCATATTTTTGATGGCGGCGACCTTTGTTGGGTCGGGGTCTATCCCATGGCGATATACGATGCAGCCAAGGAACTTGCCGGCAGTGACTCCGAATGCGCATTTAAGCGGGTTCATTCTGAGTCTGTATTTCTTACAACGTTCAAAGACTCTTTGGAGGTCTTTGAGGTGACTAGTCTCCTCTTTGGATTTTACTACCAAATCATCAATGTAACATTCCAAGGTCTTGTGCAATATATCGTGAAAAATGGCTGTCATAGCTCTTTGGTATGTTGCTCCCGCGTTTTTTAACCCAAAAAGCATTACAGTATAGAAAAAGTTACCTATAGGAGTGCGAAATGCTGTCTTTGGGGCATCCTTTGGAGCCATCTTAATCTGGTTGTAACCGCTGAAACCATCCATGAACGAGAACATATGGTGCCCCGCCGCTGAATCGATCAAGGTATCTATGTTTGGGAGTAGGAACTCATCTTTGGGGCAAGACTTGTTTAGATCTCTGAAATCGACGCACACTCGAATTTGACCATTCTTTTTGATAACTGGGACGATACTAGAAAGCCAGGTGGGATGTTGGATGGGTTTGATAAACCCTGCTCCAAGCAGCTTCACCACTTCGTCCTTGATGTTGAGCTCCACCTCGGGCTTATAAAATCTGACCCCTTGCTTGACTGGGCGAGCCAGGGGGATGACGTTCAAACGGTGCATGGTAACATCTTTGTCTAATCCTGGCATTTCTTCATATGTCCATGCGAAAACGTCCGAGTACTTCTTGATCAACTTGATGAGGGGCCCCTTTTGTTCTGCTGGAAGATCTTTGCAAATGAAGATAGGACGCCTAGGTTCCCCTTCAGGGGCCATGTTGATTTCTTCCAGTTCTTGCTTTTGGGGCCGAGGGCCGTCCTGTAAACACTTCGGAGCAAGTCGAACATCTTGCAACCCATCTTGCTTTAAGATTGCAACTGAGTTGGCGGGGACTTGGTTAGGAGATGAAACGGTTGCCTTGGCGAGGGGTTTAACTTTTGAGCCTTCAGTTCCATCCAAATGAGTTATCGCAGGACAATAAGATCTGTCAAAGGGTTTATCTGTTGCTGGAAAAGCCACGACTTTTTTTCTCCTTCTACTCTTCTTGTCTCTAGTTTTTTTATTCTTTGCCATTGGCGGGCGTTGGGCCAGCGCAGACAAGGTGTAGCAACAGTGATCTTCTCCACTTAGTTCACGATGGGCGATTGCTACGTCGTCTAGCTGGGGGTCGGCATAGGTAACGTTCGCCAACCCCTCGCACCGTCACAAACGGTATACCACTTTGCCATCTTTTGTTTGAAACCTGGTGACTTTAGGGAGCTTTCTTGAAGGCTCTGATTTGGTGAATGTCTTTCTGCGAGGTGGTGATGAATCTCCTTCGGAGAGGTCATCCCAGTTGGGTATAGGAGTTCCTCAAAGTGGCAGGGGAGGTTCATCTTCATCGACATGATTGTAAAATACCGCATCTGCCATGTGAGCTTCATCTACTCGAAAAGGTTTTTGAGAGCCAACTATGGCTACTACCTCATTGTTGTAGACTGCTTTGACACATTGATGGTATGTGGAGGGGATCGCAGCATATCTATGAAGCCAAGTTCTCCCCAAGAAAGCCTGATAGGTCGTTTCTGCTTCTATAACATGGAACTTAGTAGTGGAACGAATTGGTCCTACTGCTAAGTCTAACTGGACATGACCTATGGTCTTAATTTTTTGGCTTCCAAAACCGGTGATGGAGATGGGTTGTCTGACTAAGTGCTTTGGTGGGATCCCGGCTGCCTGGAAAGTAGAATAAGGCATTACATTGAGTGAAGCTCCTCCATCCATGAATCTTCTTTGAAACTGCATCCCATTGATGAATACTAGGACGTAGAGGGGACGATTATGTGGAAATAGTACTTGCTTGTTGGCCTCGGTAAAGGTTATCGCCAAAGAGTTATCCCGAAATATTTTCCTTACTGACCCGCTTACACTCATGCACGTTTCGCCATTCTGCTCTGCAAGTCTTAAAAAGGCCTTGGTGGCTTCAAAGCGAGTTGCTTCAGATAGGCCGAATTGGTCAAAGAACCACTTGAACTTTGTCGATTTCTTAAGCGCTACCACACGCCTGGTCTCAAAGTTCGGGCAAGTGGAAGCTGGGAGTTCAGAGAGCTCGCACACCATTCTCTTCCATCTCATCATAATGCGAAAGCATCATGACCGTCTTGCCATTATCCTTGTGGCGCGGGAGAGGATCTTTCAAGACATCTTCTGTTTGGCGGGGTAGCTCCAAAACATCGTCAGACATCATTTTTCGAACTAGGGATCTGAGTGCCCAACATTCCGTAGTAGGATGTTTAATGGAACGATGGTATATGCAATAGTCAGCCGCGCTTGATCCTTTTTGGTGATAGGTTGCCTTGGCTCGGGGAGGTGAACTTTTCCATCTTCTACCCAGGCGTTGAGGAGTGCTTCTACCCGGGGGAATTTGATCAAACTTTCTCTTTTTTTCCTGCGGGTCTCCTCTTCCTCCAGAGGATCCTTTGGTTGCATATACGGCGTGGTTGCGTCGGTTAGGCCTCCATGAGGAAGGTTGAGGTGCCGTTGGTCGCCACGAGTGGGGTTGTGGTGCTGTCATTCGTGGCCCTGATCTTACTGTTTCACTTATGTTTCGGGCCGCAACACATAAAGCGGAAAAGTCAGGGAAGTGGTGATTGACCAACTGGAGTTTATAAGTCGTGAGCATCCCTTCAATGCATAATGACACCAGCTGGTGTTCTTCCATCGGGTCTTGTATATCTACTGCTTTTTCTCTAAAACAGTGGACGTAAACGAGAATGTCCTCTCCAAGTCGTTGTGTTTCCCTCATAAGATGAAGGGTGGTTAACCTTTCTTCAACGTAGAAGAACTTGATGTAAAACTTTTTTACCAAGTCTTCCCATGAAGAAATAGAGCCAGCAGCAAGGTTGGCATACCACGAGAATGCTCGATCTGTGAGGGATTTGGAGAATTCCCTCATGCGAAGGTTTCAGTCTTCTCGGTGAGCTCCAAGGGCGTCAAGAAAGCGTGAAACATGCTCTTTGGCGTTCCCTTTTCGTCCGTCGAAACGGACAAATTTGGGTACTGTATATCCCACTGGATATGGAAGACTTGCGATGTGAATAGGGTAAGGGGGACGAAGGTCCAATTCTGGGGAGGCAGGAATGTGACCTTTGTTCGTCTGAAGTAGGCTATTTATGTGCTCTTTTACGACCTCCAATGTTAATGGCTGGGAAAAGTTCTGATTTGCCGGAAGAGTTGGAGAGCCAGTCGAAGCCACTGCAGTGGGAGCTCCACTAATGGACCCAACTTGTGGTGGGGGTGTCTGGCTGGGAGCTAATGGAGGGAGCAAGGGGGCTGTTTGTCCTTCCGCTTGGGTTCGCAAGTTGTTTTGCGTAGCGAGGTTGGCTTCTGAGCCATTCTGGGCTAATGACGGAGCGCCATTTTGAGATGATGTAGGAGGGTTAGATGATGATGGGAGCGTAGGTGCACTTTGTAAGGCTAGCAGGGCGTCCATTAAGAGTTGTTGGTTCTGTTGAAGGGAGGTGACGCTCTCAGTCAATACACGTAGCTGATTCGCTATAACCGGTTGGGAGGTTTGTTCTTTCGGAGAGCTGCCGGAGTTGTGTTCCAAGCGAGAAACCTGTGAGAAACCCTTGGCAACCAAGCGAGCTTTGTAGTGCTCGAGAGAACCATCAGAATGAGTCTTGACTTTATAGATCCATTTGCAACCAACTAGATTCTTGCCAGTAGGCAAAGGAACCAACTCCCAAGTGTTAGTCTTCTGCAAGGCAAACAATTCATTCTCCATAGCTTGAATCCAAGTAGGATCCTAACAGGCCTCCGTATAAGACTGAAGTTCTAAAAAAGAATAAATAACAGATAAAAAAGTACGATAGGAAGCAGAAAAACATGTATTAGACCAATCTAACCCGTTTGGAGGACGACGCTCACAAGTAGGATATCGGTGTGCAACAGGATCAGGGTCGTCAGAAGCAGAAGGAGCAGCAATAGGAGTAGAGACAACTGGTGGTGAGGGAGCCTTGAGACGAGAATAGACCAACAACGAAGGGGAAGAAGAAGCCAAAGGAGGAGAAGGAGCCATGGGTGACGCAGACAAAGAAGTATGAATGGCCTCAAGAGGAACAATGAAGATGTACTCATTAGACGGGACCTCAAAAGGAAATGGGTCAATGTGAATCAAATCTTCTTTGGAAACGGGAGCAGTGAGAGGGGGAAGCTGAAAGTAAGACAGACGTTCGAGAAAGACAACATGACGGGAGACATAAAGGCACCGAGAGATAGGGTCGTAACATCGGTAGCCTTTCTGAGTAAAACTATAACCCCAAAAGACACACAAGACAGACTGGGCACTGAGTTTGGTCCTATCTTTACGGGGAAGGAGGACAAAACTAGCAGACCCAAAGACATGGAGGAGGGAATAATTAGAAGGTTAATACAGAGAGCCTTATAAGGGGATTGACCGGAGAGTAGGGGAGTCGGCATGTGATTAAGGAGGAAAGCAGCATTAAGAACTGTTTCACCCCAGAATGGTGCTGGAAAAGAGGCAAAAAGGAGAGATTGAGCTGTCTCAATGAGATGACGGTGTTTACGCTCAGCACGACCATTTTGGGCAAGGGTATTAGTACAAGAGGTTTGGTAAATGGTGCCCAATGTAGCCAAATACTCACAGAATTCAGTTTTAAAGTATTCCCCACCCAAGT